AGGGTTGAAGGTCCCCAGGGGCCCACGTGTCAGGAAATGATATGTACCACAGGACAGGCTCAGTGTTCCCCCCAGGCTCCTAGCAGCAGCCACAGCAACTCCAGGAGGCTACAGCCCCAGCCCTGGTCCCTAAGGTCCACGGTCTTCAGTTCACACCGTGAGACTGCCCAGTCCCCGACTCCTCCTTGGGAAGGGGTACTGCAGGGAGGATGAAGTAACCAGTAGGGGAGGGCCTTGCCAGCCTGAGTGGGTCTTGTTTGTGCTTGTCCTCTGTGTTCCTTTCCTGAGGCTGCTGTGTCAACATCCACAAATGCGGTGGATCGGAACAACAGCAGTCAATCCCCCACATTTCTGGAGGCTGAAGTCTGTAATCATGGGGTCACCAGAGCCACAGTCTCCCCAAAGCTCTTTGTAGAACCCATTCCTGCCTCTTCCAGCTGCTGGTGCTGCAGCAATGCTTGGTGGGTCTCGTTTGGGGTCTTTATTGCTCAGATCTCAGCCCCTGTCTTCACGTGGCCTTCTCCTCTGTGGGTCTTCTCTCTGTCCCTCTCAAAGACACTGGTCATCAGCTTTAGGGATCACCACGGATGACCTTATTGGGGTTCAGAAAATGATGCCCCAAAGTGAAGGCCTCAGAAGCAAAGTTTCTCTCTGACCTTTTCGTGTCCTCTGATTCCTCACTCCTCATCCTCCCCCGAGGCAGGCCATGGAAACCAGAGCCCCTGACTCTTGGCCATGCACATACTCTTAGGCCTAGACGGAAACAGTTTCTCCAGTGTTGACTCTTGATTCTTGACCTCAGCTGTAGTTCTGCATTCACTTGACCTAATTCTGGATGGAGCTCCCAGGTCCCTAATGCAGCTCTCATCATACCTGATTCCTCTTGACCTTCCACGAGAGGGGTCAGAGGGACTTGGACAACATTAGGATTGCATGGACTGTACTTCTCATGAATTTTCCCTCTCCATGAGGTCAAATTAAATGTCACGATATCCAATTGCTATTACATAGAGTCCTGAAAAGTAACAGAATCTGATGATATCTTTGTGACCTTTAATAAAGAGATCGTTAGAAGTGATTAACTTGAGTCATCTTGGAAGACTCAAGGTGAGTGAAAGGCCATCTTCCTAACATCTTGGGAAAGTTGGTCATGAGATCAAGTTTAATTAGCTTCAGAAGTAAATTAGCAAACAAAATAACTTTCATACCCATTCCTTTGCAGGCTTTGTTCAACTTTTTGGCATCTTGATCCACATTGAAACCCTGATGACTTTTTACTTTGGCCTGAAAAAAAAATAATTGAAAAGTTGAATGGACAGTATAATCATCCCTCAATTATCTCTAGCTTACATTGATTGCTAACTGGAGGACAAAGCAGCCATCCAAACAAGGGACCAGCTGCACTGTACTCATGGGGACGTGCGGAAATCAGCTGGGCAAACTCAGGCCCCAGAGCTATAGCTGGTACTCACTGGGGCCAGCTGGCCTTGAATGAAGACAGGAGAATGGTCCTCTCTGTTCTCAAGGACAATTGGCATGGCCAGCTCTGTAATGAGCAATGTTCCTGTTAAGCCAACCTTTGTGCGTCTGTCTCTGAAAATACAGAGGGCCAATGTCTTAGCGTGCTGGTTTCCCTCTTTGGCCAGGAGATGCAAGTGTATCTAGGGAAGAGGGTTGCAAGCCAGAAACTCAGGGTTCTAGGTCTTCCTACATACAGATTTATTTAGTGACCTGGGCCTTTGTCACCTATACAATGAGAGACATACATTCAGTTTGTCAGAGATTTTGTTCTTTTTGTTTAGTATGTAAGAACCAGCAAAAGTGTAGTTTTTAGTTTTTAGGGCTTCTTGGGGGAGAATAAACCCTGTTGATAGACAGCTGTTTCCCCAACTTGGGTCATTGGCATAATACATACAGTAACTTGCCCTCAGTCTCCAATGTCTATATTGTTGTTATTTGCTTATTGTTTTTCTTTCAACTGACCTTTCATTTTAACTTGAAGTTATTTATTTTTTAATGTGTCAAAGGGTGCACGCATTCACCAGAGAGAGATTGTGAGAGAGAGAGAGAGAGAGAGAGAGAAGAAAGAGAAAGCACCCCCTACGGGGCAGGGTCACACCGTAATCTGTTCTCCTCCATCCTCTTTTTGATATTTGGGCATGCACACACATATGCCCAGAGTATTTCTCAAGCTGTGGGGTCCAGGACTCCCACAGTGTGGTCAGCCATGGGGGATCCATCTGCCTTAACCATAAGGCCACAGGCTGGCCGAAAGTTATTTTAAAAAGGAAACTTTCTGTTGACACTAAAATGGAAATCCAGCATTGCTTGCCTGAACAGAAGGTTACCATAAAAATAAGCACATCACTGTTAACAATGTAAGGATGTGGGGCCAGCAGATGGTGCAGTGGTCAAGGTGCTGGACTTCCACATAACCAACTATAGTTCACGTCCTGGACCTGGCAGCTTGCTTTCTCATTTTCCCTCTTTGGTGAGAACATATGTCCTAAAATGACTTAATGCTAAAATAAATAGTTATTTAAAAAAATGTGAAGATGTGGGGTTAGTTACAGTTGCACAGTGCCTTGAACAGTTATACTTTGAACATCCTATCTTCTCAGTTCTTTGCTTTTCTTCACTTCCACGAGGCTAGACATGTGTCCATATGTTTCTCATTGTTCAGTGAAGGCTGGGCTGAGGGCTGCTACCCTCACCACCCAACTCTCCTTGCCTTCCTTTCATTTATTTTGGGAACACACAGCACACCACGCAGGGCCCACAGGACGTAGGGTGTTTCCCCATCTCCCATTCATGGGGCTCATTGTGGCTGTCAGTCATGACCCTTGAGCCCTATCTTCCTGCCCTCTGCCATCAGGGGGAGCACATGCCCAATCTCTCGGCAAATGTGATTGGTTTAGGAGTGGGATATCCTCCAGGCAGGATCCATTACAGTTTTGCCCTTGGTGAACATATTGAGAGGGACATGTCTTGCTAAGCTGAGAGCGTGTGAGTCTAAGGCTATTGGTCGCTACCTTGTCCACCTTATAGGGGAATTTGTGTCTAAGGCTATTGGTCGCTACCTTGTCCACCTTGCAGGGGAATTTGCGCGTGAGAGATTAAGTAATCTTATATGCAGAGTCTCCAAAAAAATTCATGGCAAATAAGTATCATGAAAAAATAACCTTCCTGGATTTTCAGTTTTTGGACCAAAATAAACTCATGCTTTTAATTCCACTTTGCACAGACTTTTTTTTTTTTTTTTTGATAGTTTTTTTCGCTATAGGGCGCGTGCACTTGCCAGACAGACAGAGAGAGACATAGAGACAGAAAGTGAGAAATCACCCCCCAGGGAGGATGGTCACGCCGCAATCCCTTCTCCTGCATTCTCCTCTTGGGATCTTGGGCACGCACGCACACGCGCCCAGCGTGAGTTCTAAGCCACCGGGTCCAGGATGCGAACCGCAGTCGACTATGTGGGAATCTAGCAACATAGCCATTATGCTAACTGCTGGTTCCCCGCACAGACTTTTTGAAGGCTCTTTGTATAAATTCTTGGTTACAGCAGTAACTGTGTCCCAGTAACTCCCAGTTTCAGTAGCTAATAAACTTGCCCATTAGTTGGGTAGTGTGAGCTGGGTTTCTGCCCTGGTCACCCAAGTATCATGGCTAATATCCATGGAAAGGAGAAGGGCTGGCTTCCAGATCTTGGTTCATGGAGAATCATAGGCCCCCTAGAGCCAAAGGAATCTTCAGGACTACCTCTCACCTTTTGGGAGGTTAGGGCAGGGCCATCTTGAATTATCTGTTTCTGAAACACCCTGGGAGGGGCACCGACAGTTGTTGAATTCCTGCCACATGCCAGGCAATTCACAGATCTTTATTATTCACAAGGAAGAGTGTTATATAACACCAGTGTTATTACTTCACAGATAAGGAAACCTGGTTTCAGACCTGTTAGGGAATTAGACTGAGTTCTGCAGGGTGGAGGGTTGCACTCAGCTCAATTTGCCTCCGGAAGTCCCCACTCTCCTAGCATACCATCCTGCCTCACGCTCTGGTTACAAGGCCCTTCACATGCGGGCAGAAGGGTGACATCACCCATTTTCCTTATCTAAATCATTTATGGGGCGTAAGAAAGTTTCTGGTGCTTTTGAAGGCTTGTTGGTTGAGCCAGCTACATCCTTCACAGGGCTCAGAGCAAACTGGAAGTGCAGGGCTCCTGGTTCAACAATGATTAAGAATTTCAATGCAGTGACATCCGAGTGCCAAGCTCAGGGATCTTTGCTGGGGGCCCTGGAGACTGCACAGGCTGCATACTTAGAGAGCTTGCCCTGCGTATTTATTGACTGACTTATCGATTCGCTCTGGCAACGTGGAGGGATTGCTAGGGAGAATGAGCAAAGACACAGAAGTCTTGGAAAGAACTGTGGCTCTAATCCAGCCAGAGATACAGGGCTGCCCTTATGTTTATTCACGTGACATTAAATACCTGGCCAACGTGAAAATACGGACACCATGATGTATGTGTACACATAGGTCCCTTTTTTCCTTGAGCACCCATAGAGTGGATGCTCTCTCCAAAGAGACAGAGAGAGACAAAGCTAGAAATTACCCTGGGGGGATGAATAGCCATGCCACAATTCCTTCCCCTCCATTCTCCTCTTGAGATTTTGGGCATGCATGCACGCACATGCACCTGGTATGAGTTTTAAGCTGCCAGGTCCAGGACTTGAACTGCAGTTGTCCATGTGGATTGTCCAATGCCTTAACCACTTTGCCACCTATTGGCTCCAATAGGTCCTTCTTTTAAAAACATGTAACAAATTTGCTGCTCTTTCACAGGAATCTAAGGGTTTCCAACAGTTAAGAAACGCCCTTTCTGTTACCATCTGTGGAAGCAAATAGCACAGCAACATAAACATATACCAAGGGCCGGGCAGTGCAGGTGCTCAGAGTCGTAGGATCCGAGTGCGGGTTCTGTAGGCAGCTGCCATAACCTGCCGCCACAGGCTGACCGATAATACCATTCTAATAATCTCATTTTAATTTTTTTCGTTCCTTTTTTTAACTCAGAAAAATAGAACACTGAATTCTTGGCCTTTCCTTTGACTCCGCGCCCTACTTTTTGATCAAATTCTAGAGGTGGTTCTCTGAGGCAGAATCTCAAAAGGGTAAATGGCGTCATTGCTTTCCCCTGGAAGTATTATGGAGGGCTCGGGAAGTCAGGTGAAATTGAGCCAGGGTGGCAGAAATCTCCTATCAACTGGCTAATTTATAAACTGTCTGAAATGGCATTACAGACGCGCATCCGTCCCTTTTCGTAGCTGCTACATTGAGACAGAAACACAGGGCTCTGCAAATGGCCCTGCAGTTGTGCCCTGCCCGAGGGCCCTGGCTGTGAGCGGCGACTGGGCTCCAGCTGGGGTGACCCTTGCCAAGCCTGCTGGCAGAGCTGCTTTCCCTCATTTGCACAAAACCACCACAAGGGCTTGCTGAGAGCGTGCGAGGACTTGTTTGAGATCACCTGGCCAGGCAGTGGCTGAGCTGGAGCCCGGGAGAGAACCAAGACTCTCCATCTCTGGCAGAGATAACGTGACATTCCTGACCCTCCTCTCCCTCCCATTTTAGTGAGGTCATTCCACGATCCGAGTATCACAGAGTGAGAGGAGCTGGGGCAGGAAAGAACCCGCTGAGCATGTCCAGTATGCTTACCCTAGACCCAAAAGATGTGTCAGTAAGTGTCATTAGGTTCAAAAGAACTCTGATATCCAGGAGGGCCAGTGGGAGAGGATGTTGAACCACATCAGAATGACACCGGGACTCAATTGTTGCTGTCGTTGCTGAGCAAATAACACAGGGTAGGAGTCTGTCCTGGGCACAGCCACAAACAGGGAGGCCACAGTCCCCTGCCTCCTTGTAGGAACCACTGTTGGCCTTGCTGGTTGTCTTTCTTAATCTACTTGAGAAGAGAATTCAGTCTTGTTTCTTATCACGGCAGGATATTTGATGGGAAGGAATCATGTGATGTGCTTTGTGACAGAAGAGAGAGAAGAGAAAACAGCTTCTTTGGAATTTTCCCCTCCATTGGCCAGGACTGCCTCTACAATGGACACATTCATCAGTGACTCCCGGGCTGGTGCGAGGGGTGTCCTACGGCTTGTTCAGATGAACCGGGCAAGGAACTTCTCTGGAATGTACGCAGAGCCAAGCCTCTGTACCTATTGTGCATTGTTAGGGCCACAGGCAGCTGGCTGGGGCCTCGGGCCTGTTTGCCAACCAGGAGA